ATAGCGACGGGGAATCGACGTTACGGCCCTGCAACTCGGCGTAATTCCTCATAATTCTTTAGTACCCCGCCGATCGAGGGTTCCCCTTCCGCCTCGCGAGAATTCCGCTCACGTACGCTTATTTTGGATACTAACCCCAAGCTCGATAGGAGCACGCGAGGCGAAAGCTGCGAGCAACGCTTTCACACGTGATTCGAGGGAACGCGACGAGTGGAAAGTCCAGAGGGGGCCATGGGCGAAGAAGCTAACGGGTGACCGAAAAGGTCTCGTTACGGGAAGCCGTAACCGGAGAATGGCTCTCAGGGGTACGGAGCATCGCCAATTTGTGCGTCGAAATTCTTTTTCACGGCGAGAAACAAAAAGGAGTTAATTCGAGCCTTTAAAACCTCGGGGACGTTCCCGTTCCCACGCCTCCCCGCTGGACCGCGACCTCGGCACGCGAACCCGCTGCCAGAAAATCATAATCGCTTCCTTATATCGCGGCGTGCATCGACGAAAAGCCAAAGACGACCCCCGATCGGCCGTTGTAATTTGCCGATTACTGGAACGATACAAAGATATTCGGACCGGAACCGATCGAACACGCCCCCCCGTTCTATCGGGGTACCATCGATGGTACTCGTGTGTCGGCGCTCTGGCACCGTTTCGGCCTTTTATGCCAACATTTCTGTACTTCTGCCAACTTCCAGGGCGTTGCTCGGTTAATTACAGGGTTATAGAAGGGGAGGTTCTAAGTACCATTCGCGGAATACTTTGGACAGTCTACGAAGCCCTTGACGGAACTGTGCACGTCCAAATAAGAAAGCGCAGAGGGGAATAACACGAGTGTTACGCTCGTTATACGACCGAACCTCGATAATTCCAACCTCTTCCACTCGTAAACCTCTATGAGACGAATATCCAACCCGGTCGCTTCTGCTTCGACGCGAAAACCGCTATAAATCGAAACAAAAATAAATTCCTTCACCTGTACCATTCGAAACCTATATAAGTCCAAACTCATATAGGCTCGACGATACTTGAACAATTTTTCTTTTCCCAATGAATGGTACCCCGTTGAATAATTCAATCCCCGGAACTCGAACCTAACAATGAATTAACACATTGGCTTGGGGCATTCGCACCTTCTCATTCGCCAGCGTCACGTCCCGAAGAAACCACCTACGAAGACGAACCTAGCCATTTTTAGCGTCTCGCGAGTCCATCTTAACACTAAGATGACAAAGATCTCAAAAATTGCATCCGGATCCAATTTAAAATCCCCGATGACGGATCCGTACGTCATGCGACTCGCATACGTTAAAAATCACGATCATCCCATAACGGATTCATCGATAAATATTCAGGAGGCCCGGTGGAGTAAGAAAAAGGAGGAGATGAACCGGGGGTCGTAAAAATGGCCGAAAAACGCGACATTTCTAATTACCAGCTTCATCGATTTCGCCGGTTACAGACTCGTTAATCCGGCCTGACGTGTAAATTAGCGAGATCGACGCGAGGACAACGACGGAAACATTATACGGGGGGGCAGGAGGGGACGAAGAAACGCGAGGAAACGCACGCGATAGCACGGACATGTCTTCTCCCTTTCACTTCTTTATATTTCAGCGGGATCTTCGGTAGGAACGTCTAGTTATGAAATAAAACAGCGCGGCATTACATGGGTACCCGTATTACAGCGGCGCGAGATGGCGCAATAACTCCGGGGACTTTTACGCGGAGACCCTTGATTTACAGCGGCTCCGCGACCTGCCTTAATAGAAGAACTGCCAACCTACGAGCGAGCGCGACCACCTTCTTAACAGCCCGTGAATCTCTTCTTGCGTCGACAGGATTCCCGGCGATTGCTTCCCTCGAACGTGCCCGATTCGCTCTCGGGAACATCCATCAAACCACTCTGCTCGCACTTTTCTGTCTCGTCATTTATTAGAGGATATTCGGATGTAGAATGCCTCGCTGCGAGTCCTACGCGTGGGTATATACAGGGTGTCTGCAGAAAACCGGTAGAGTCACGCATAAAAATATTTCGAACAGCAAGAATCAAATTTTCATGATCGAGACTCCATTCTTGAGAAATTCGATTAGCGTGCATGCTTTTCGCTACGAATTTCGATGTGGATCGTGTCTCCTGACTGTGGATGACTGTATCGAGCTATAGAATAGCAGGAAAAATAGTCTACTCTGGAATCTATGGAGATAAGTATTGCAATTATGGGTTTATAATTGTAAAATATTATTTTATATGTATATCCATCTCTGAGTGCTTCTCTAGAGCGAGTGACGAACTCTATAGAGTAACAAGGGGCTACGTGACACAGTTCGCCTAAATCCCCCAATTTCTGTATACTACACCTATTTCTGAACTAAATTTTGTTGAAAAATGAGCTCCAGACCAAAAAGTGTCATTCCGTACCTTTTTCATATTTTTTTCTGCGAGGAATGGCTATCTTTGAGTGACACCCTGTATATACGTAACTCCTGATAGCTCGCGCAATCAGTCCGCTATTAGAGTGAAACGCGTTCGAGACGGTGCCAAGAAATCCGTAATATTTCTATGAACCTGGTTCTTGCGTTAATTTTCAGTCAATTTCATTTAGACACTTCGCCTGTTATCCGTTCGATTTTCCTCGCCATATCCCTGATAAGGTTTCGAACGTGGACGTAAATTCTGCCACAACGACGCGTACAGTGACGTTTCCAGAGAAACGAGAAACGCGCTGGAAGACCCGACTCATTTGCTTTTAACGAACAACATGGCACGGGTATCAGCATCCTACATCGGATCTAACGAGAACGAACGTTTGATAAACCGAAGGAATGGAGTAGAAACGGGTCCCTTTACTGTGAGTATACGACACGGCGGGATCGTTTCTAATACGATTCAGGAGAGCAAGCATGGCTGTGACGCGACATTGGAATGAAAACTGGCGGCCGGTACCCCTCGTTGTTCGTACTAATAGCCGTTGCAACCAACGGCAGCTCCTAGCCGATTCTGGATCCATTAACGGAATCGTTTCACTCGGTATACGTCTGCCAGCTATTAATGTTCATGGTTCCGACTATCGAGGCTTTCGTCTTCCGTAGGAATGTCAGCCCTACACCCTTTCCACCTTCTCTCCCTTCGTCCCATCTTTTCGTCCACGTCCCCCGACTCCTCCGGTTCGTCTATCGTAATAACTCCATTACGACTGACCGAGCCTCCGTGATTTTAACGTCTCATTTCCATCCTACCTACCGTACCCGGCTACCGTTTCTTGCCCCCGTGTCCGGATTGGATTATCACCGGCCACGAAAGTGTCGTCGCTTATCGTCTTTCCGTATAATCGCTTCAAGGAATCCCGGGTGTTACGTGTCTCCCGTGTTAAAATTCGGGTCCACTCTCCCGCAGGGTCGAGAAACGATACGACTGACAAACAGAGTCCGTGAGCTAACCGAGCGTGAGGTACCAGCGCTGAGTCGATGGACCAAGTGGATGGAGTAAGATGGCTCTCGATACTCGGAAATAAATCGAGACGTCTCGGATCGCTTGGTAGGAAAATCTCTGTCCGAATCGGAAGACGAAGAGGGTATACGCGTGAAACCGATGGCGCGGAAGATTCGACTAATCGTAGAGATTCACGAGGATGCACACCGTTTGGCGCTGCTGCGAGGATAGCTTATGCAGATTCCTCTTCATTCGTATTAATAACCAGCGAGTCTGGCTAGGCCAGGCCGCAAAGCCAAGGTCATCGGGGTTAAGGCGTGTTCAACAAGCTGTTCATGGCTGCTACCTAAAGGGCCAGCCACTCCACCCGGAAGTACAGGTCGCTGGCTTGTAACTCAAGATCGTCCGTGCTGCTTTCTAAGACACTCCGACTCCGGAATTCCTGATCCCTCATCGTCCACGTTCCAGACGCGTGCAGGACGCGCCAACTCGAAACGGGGGAATGTAAATGCTCGTTTCCATTCGTGAACCGGGAAAGAAGATATCGAAACGACCGACGGTTTTCAGAAAAAGTGGACTTTGCCGGACGTTAAAGAACCGGCTACCATTTAGGGGGGGCACGAGGATCGTTTCAAGGTAGAAGAATCATCATCGTGCAGCCTCTTCCGTAAAGGGATAGCACGGACACGTTTCTATTTATTATAAGTCGGGAAAGTCAACAATCGGGAGCCCGAGCCGACCGTAAATCACGACGGATCGTCTCCTGGCGCGCCTTAACGTTAAGGACTGGTATATGTAACCTATAAGAGGGATGCGCAGGCGGCAGTGATATATCGTACGAGTCCCCCCATTGTCTCTGACTAAGTTCACGGCGACGGGCCACCGAGCAACGAGACTCTTCCTCGTATTAATTACAATGTCCGAGCGAAAGCACCGGTTCGCCTGCCGAGGCTTTCGACAGAGGGCCCAGTCGATTTTTCTTCCGGCTCGACCAGCTCTACGAGCGGCCCAGGCAAATTGTGTTTACAGAGTATCGTACCATTTCGATCGCTTTAATCTTTTTACCGGCCTTAAACGCTACCCGGCTCGATTCAATGCACATCCGGAAATATTCCGCCCATTTTCTTAATCGTTCGTTCAAATAGTCCGTCGAGAAATGGAACATAATCAAGCAGCAAAGTCACGGATTCACGCGTCGAGCGATATAGTAACAGGCAAGCTGAGACATGTCTCGATAGACAAACATCGACGAAAATTAACGATCACGCGTAGAATATCGTCCGAACATGGCGAAGAATAACGCGCAATTGAGACAGTAAAACGTTAGCGAATGTTAACCAAGAAACCTGTCTTGTTTGCGTTGATTTCTACAAGCCACGTCTCCAGCACGTGATACTCATGTTCGACCCGATATCCTTACCACGTCTCCCGCACGTGATACTCATGTTCGACCCGATATCCTTACCACGTCTCCCGCACGTGATACTCATGTTCGACCCGATTTCCTTACCACGAGTCTCGCACGATATTATACGTTTCTAAAGTTAATGAACGACAATCGAAAATTTCGACTCACCATTTGGAGCCTGCCTGCAGAGCCTGGCGAACATCCTCTAGTTTGTCGCTGAACGTCTACCTGCGAACAAGAAGCCGCTCCAGATTAACATTCCGCATTCGAGCTTGACGGAAGCTGACTCTACGGTAAATTAATGCCAGCGTCGCGACCGTTCACCGACACGTCACCATAAACAGAGATTTTCGCAGCTTCCTGCCAACATAACGGGATGGAACAGTTACGTTTGCTACCATAATTACACGAACGAATATCGAAATTCATAGCACCCTACCAGCGCGATCGAACCCCACGAAGCGTGGCGCGGCACGCCCGAGGCGTCCAGCAGGATATTTCCTTAACGTTAATGGCTACCAGTCGTTCGCTAATAATTACGAGCTTTCCTTGACTAATAGGCAACGACAGGTGATCCTCCTAGCGCGTTCCGGGCTGTCTCCCACTGACTTTACGCAGCCGCCCCCGGGGCTCGTCAGTCCGTGGATCGTCCATTCTAAATCATATCGACGCGCGAAATCATAATTTCCAATTCCGAATAACTCACTCTCGTCGTCCCGAATAACCAGCTCGTTCATGGAAAATATATCTTCCGCGTCTCGTAAATCTCGCGCATACGCGAAACGCAGGATCGACGGGTGTAAACAGACGAAAAGATTCGTAAGGATCGCGCTCGACCGATTTGTCCGGCCATTCTAGGCTAGAACAACCCCGATAAATTTTCATCGACGACATCTGAAATTCCGATGGAAGGGCCCCGTTGGGAGATATCAGTCAGCCACGATGTTCGAATCGAGGAGAAGCGATCGTTCAGGGCCTCCCAACGCGTCCCTCGGCGACGTTCGGGATCGAAAACACGCGGAGAATGCTTTCCCTTCGACGTTCGACTCGTTGCCTTCACCGGATAAGTATCTGCCTGTTTCAGCCGCGACGACCAGCTCTCGATAGCTCTCGACGGAGCTTCCGAAACAGCTTCGCCTCGGCGGAAGATCGGGTTCGATACGTCGGATCGGTAAACCTTCTAAATTCGCGTTTCTCTCGTGCGACTAGCATCTCCAGCTTCAGCCTCGATGGAGCACGCGCGGAATATCGAAAGCACGGGTGAACGGTGGAAAAATTCAGGTAGCTCAACGTCGGCAGACACACCGTGAAACTATCATTTACAATGATTATTACCATACGACAAGCGGCAAGGGGAAGAAAGATGAGAAAGTCGTCGAGCCTCTACATAATTGCACAACGCACCAGACACGTGTGCGAGCGCAGACGAACGGGGAAACATGGCCGGCGCGGTGTACCATTTGTCCCCGCGTTGTTGCGCATAAATGTGCAAAAATGATTTACATCGCTGCCTCTGGATAATAGTCTACCTATACGACCGTCGACCGCGACCGCCCATTCGAGTCACTTCGGCCACAGCCTCGTTAACTTTTTCAATGCTCCACGCGAAATCTACCGCGATTTACCAATCGCCTATTCGCCTTTCGGAAGATTGATTTCCATCGGCTAATAAATAACGCGAAAACACGGGAGACTCGCCGCTAACAGGTTGCAAACGGGCCCCGGTACCGGTCAGGCACCGGCCAGGCCCCGGCCAGGCCCCGGTGCACGTAAAAGATCGCGAGGGAAAATCGTAATTTATCGAAATCGATTTGCAGCCGATCTTTTCCTTTTTCACTGACCGCGAGAGAACTTCACGCCCGTGCTATTGAAAACGCGAATGGCGAACGCGACGGTGTCGACGCTCGACCCACGCGCACGAGGTACCGAGGATCGCGTACCGGGCCAGCCGTGTTTTGTCCGGCATAATTATCTCGGATACAGCCATTAATTAGTATCGCTAATTATGTGGAACAGCGGCAGCGAATACACACACCGAGCAGAACGGAGCGGTTCCGAGCGGCTTCGTGGAGCGGCAACTCGGTTTATCCTATTTGTCGCGCATAAATAACAGATTAATGCCGAGATATGGTAGCTTATGCAAATGCGGGTTCAAAGTTTATAGCATCTAATTAAGCATATTGGCGGGCTGGAACTTAATAAACCCGGTGGCGACCGGTTTCCGCGTTTTAATCGGCTCGCCGGCAGCCCCGAAATCTTGGCCGGAATTCGACTCGACGCGCCACCTAAACGGACCACTTCCTGCGACGCCTGTTCGTCCCGTGACCCGGCCCGCGCGCCAATTATGCCGAGCTTTTGTACGCCGTGCCGTAATAACGTATCGCGAGCTATTGCCACGGCGCGACGGTCAAGGTGTAATAAATTATTCAGCACGCTCGAGCAATAAGCGCGCGTGGTGCCCGTTCCGCCATTCATCGACTCGTGGCCGACCGCTATCGAGACCAGTCCGCGGACATCGAACGTCCTAGCCAAGATCGATCGGTTTTCCCTGCGCGTCGGTCTCGCGATACCTACCCATCGGCATCGGCCCACTCATTTGCCTCGTTTAGAAAGCCAAGAAGCCTTGTTCGGGCCGGTCCGTAGGCACAGCCAGCACCGTTCATCCGCTTATAATCAACGACACGTTGTAACACCCGTAAGCAAATCCGCGATCAAGGTACTACAAGCGGACCATGGGGACGATTCCTCGGAGAGATGGAGAGACGTTGAATGGGCAAAAAACAAGGGCCTGGGACGCCGGGACACCGGAGACGTAATGCGACGCCTTGATGGACGACTCGATCGAGAAGCCGGAAGTGGGCGGCTAAAAAACTGGCATTTAGAGGCGAGCACTGGGCACCCTGCCAACTCCTTGTCCACCGTGGATATGGGAGGGCTGAAAGCAGGTTAGGCCAACACATCGACCGGCTGTTTGACATAACCAGTTCGGAGCTGCGGGCAAGGACGCCACGCTGCCTCTCTGCCTCTCTTTCCAGCATCCTCTTGCGCAATCCTCCTCTCTCTCGCTCACCTCGGACACAATCGGCCGTTCCTGACCACCGCAATGCATCATGATCGATCGCTGCCACTCAGAAATCGAGCTTCTTTTTCTCCTGCTTCGACCTCCGCCGCGAAACACACGGACAGAGAGATAGGGGGAGGGAGAGAGAGAGAGAGAGAGAGGAGATGCGGGAGAGAGGTCGAGAACCGGTGGGATCACCGGTCATCCCTATTTCGCGTATGGTTGCCGGTCACTATCATCGCGGCAATTAAGCGCTCGCGTAGGTGAGAGTAATCCGGTCTATTAAGTGTCAACGTCGTAAACTCTATGACCGCATGGCACACGGTCGACGAGGGTTTCCAGGAATCTCGAATCTTTCTTCTCGCATCTGTTAGAGTCGCCGGTAACACGTGTTCGACGCGGCGAACTGCAAAACGCTGGTATGGGGATGCGCGCGAAATGATGGATGACGGGAAATCGAGTGTATCGAGTGAGATGCGGAGGAATTCACGGTCGCAGTATCTGGAGCTTAACGGAACGTTACCCCGCGAATGTTGCAGAAGAAGAGGATATCAATTGGCGGAAGACTGGCTGATCTATCCAATTTCGCGATTTTTGCGCCGATCAATCCGAGGTAAAGCAGATGAATTGAAACGGCCGCTGTAATTTCGCTAAAACCGCCCCGCGAAGTAGAAAGAACGGCGAGCCGAGCGGCAAACTTCCTTTCGCTGCGCTGGCATAGGGCAGAAAACGAGGATCTTCAATTTTCCAGAACATTAAGTAGCACGGGGAACGCCACCGAGTCGGCCGAGCGAGCATTTTTACAGACGTCGATCGGATCTTCACCAATTATTCCGAACGAAATTAAAATAAAGCCAATAAGACGCGCGTTGGAAACCTTTTACAGGCAAGCCTTTTTGCGGCCTGTCAGATCTACCTGAGCGATCACCCTGCTGGGTCGCTCGTTCCGAGCGGAAAGGAAAACGCATCTCGCCGAGGCAGCCGCGTTTTTCCGTTCTACGGTGTGTGCACGTACGTATGTACGTACCCCGTGGAAGATCGGGCTCGTTCGTATATACGACGCGCCGGTGCCCGATCGTTAAACCGTGATGGAGGTAAGTTCCACGAAAAACTGGATCCGTGGCGTAACAGGGTCCCTGCGGTTGATTGTTGTTCGCCAGGCGAGTCCATCGAGTCTGGCCTCAATGAGAAAACAACCGTTTACGATACGTACATGCGAACTTCCAACAGTCGTACGCGGCTTTTTGCCAACGAAATCGCCGGACCAACTTTCCGTGCCCTCGACAGAAAAATCCAAGCTATTACCACGGGACGCGAGAGGGTCGAACGCCGGAGATGAGCGATGACTTACCGAGGGGGGCGAATTTTTGGCGCGCACAGAGCCTCGGGGAGAGGCTTGGTCGGTGTATCGATCTGGTAGTTCGAGTATGTTAATCGAAGCATAGGTCGTAGATAATTATGCATCGAGAATGCGATCAGAGGCGATAATGAAATTACACGATCTAAGGATCGATAATTCCAACCGTGACGCGCATACGCGAAACGTCCGGGGTAAACCTGTTATACGTAGTTAAGCAGCTTGCTCGATGGCATCTAAGTTGCCGAATAAACGTCTTTGCTATTCCTTATCGGTGTGCATAAGCAACCACGTGTATCGACCCGTTGTAAACGGGTTACTACGTTCTACGTGGATCGTTTATAAGCCTAATAAGAACGGGGTATACGCGTAAACCCTGACTAGGTGAATCCTCCAGAAAATATCGATCGAGTAACGAACACCGAAATGAACGCAAAAAGCTACTTGATGACTGGTTAAGAAAATACGTTTCTTGGCTCGCGAGATTACCGTCATTAGCACGGAGGAGTTTTCCAGAGATGAACCTTCGATCGTAAGGATGATGAAGATTGCTATTTTTTTCTCCAGGATGGAGCCGGGATGGAGCCTTGGAGCACGAAATCGTGAACGGCGCGGTTTCCGTTCATCCGCCATTTTTCCCGCGAACGAGTGGACAGCAGAGGGCGCACGGTTGATCGAGCAAGAGACCGAACGCGGAGGGTCGAATCGATCAGAGGAATAAGGACGCGGATCCGGATCTACGGTGCTTGGTCGTGGAATAATGGCGGTCATAATGCGGTCGGCTACGTCGTTTCTGATTGTTTCGCGTTA